AGAGCGAAACTCCTTCAACGACGATCCAAGCTGTTAGCAGGTTGATGAACGCGTATGAAGAAGAGGAAGGGCCTGGAATGTTCTTGAGGAAGTTCGTTGAAGAACTTGAAGCAATCCTGGAGAATCTTGAATGAAAGATCTACGAGGTTGATGGAGTTCTTGATGAAGAACACGAAGACAACAAAACCTTCTTGATCCTGAGAAGATCGAGCGAATCTGGGAAACTGAGGGAGATGATGAAGGTTTGATGGTGTTCTGGGTTTACTGATGAACGATGAATGTTGATGATGTTCTGGAAAACCGGATGAAGGTTCCTGGAGATTCGTATGAAGTTCCCGGCGTATATGAGCTTTCCGGCGAGGTGACGACGAAGGGGGACGGAGGAGGATCGGAGAAGAAAGGAGGAAAGAAATGGATTTCTGGAGGTTTCTGGTACTTGGGGTTTCCGGCGAAGAAGACGGTGGTGTTAAGGGTGGCCGGACGGGGTTTGCATGCCGGCCGGCGGCTTCTCCGGCGAAACTCAGGGGGTGATCTGTGGTGATGGCAGGTGGCAGATGGATTGATGCCGGTGCAACGCGTGGCACGCATGCACAGAGAGAGAGAGAGAGAGAGAAAGTGGTGGCTGAGTGGGACGCGTGGCGTGAGCTGGGGAGCTTCTGAGTTGTGTGCTGGGACCCTCCGAATGCAACGCGTGTGGCCAACCTCTCACTAACACGTGGCGAGCGAGCTTTATATACTGGCTGAGGACATCTGGCACGTTCTGGAAACTTCCAGAAATGGCTGGAAAATGCTGGAGATTACTTGGACTTTTGCTGGAGTTTTTCTGGATGACTTGGGCTTCTGCGAAAATGGACTTTGGGCCCAAACAAAAACAACTAAAACCCACATTAAACTGAATTAAACCCAGAATTAAAGTCCTAATTAATATCTAAACTCAATTAAACTAATTAACTGACTAATCCAAAAAATTAACCATCTTAATCCTAATTAGACCTAAACATGATTAAAATCCTAATTAAATCTAAAAAATGATTAAAAACCTAATTAACTCTATATTAACCTAATTAAATCTAAAAATGATTAAGATCTAATTGACTCTAAATTTCTACTAATTTCTATTAAAATTCTACAAATGTCTATACCATTATTTAATATCTATTAAAATCTATAAAAGAAAAACTATATTATTTTCTATATTATCTAAAAACAATTAAAACTATTTAAATTCTTTTATATTCTAAAAAAAAGATTAAAAACTATTAAATCTATTTAAAAACCTATATAAAATTCTAAAAATCTATTTAAAAATTCTATAAAATTCTAAAAAGAGAATTAAACTATTAAAAAATACAAAAACCCTATTTAAATTCCAGAAAAATCTATAAAGCCTATTCAAAATCCACAAAAGTCTATTAAACCCTAAAAATGCAGACAAATGCAAATGATCCCCATAAAAGAGTGCACGAGACCAGATCGAATCGAACAGAGAGCCCCGGGCATCAGAATATCCCCAAAATCACTATGCAAGCTAAAAATCACCGAGGAGCGCACAATTTCCCCGAAAAATAAAACTCCGATGATCTGGACTGGATCTGCCGTATCTGATAGACGAAAATCAAGCTGTAACCCTGATATTCTCTGTTTGCACAAAAATCATACGTATGATTTGCGAATATGAATTTAAACCACGAGTCAGATAGGAGAATCGGTTGGTCAAATTTTAGGGTGCAACAGTCATCACTCGATTGCTCAAGGAACAACATCCACTAAGTTGTTAGAAACACACTTAGTCATCTTAAGCTTTCTGGTCTTCACTCGACCGCTCAAGGACCAATACCTTTTTCAAGGATTTTCTTGTGCACTAATATGCTTCTTACAAGCTGGTTACAGAAATGAAGTACATGAACACCTAAGTATTTCTAAGCAAGATATGAGCAACAACTTCTTGCTTTCTAATATAGAAAACTATCTAAAGAATGAATCTCTGAGAGATTATAAAATGTTAGTTCTATATTTCTTAGAAGCTTTCTTGATGAGCACTAAGGCTTATTATCATAAGCTTTTAGCTTTTTTTGCTATTATATTCAACTTAAAAGCCATTCTTATCTTCAGTCTTCTAGCATCTTCAGAGGCTTCATATATTAACTTGATGAACCGTATTGTAGAAGAATATTTCTTTATGTAATCTTCAGAAACCCAGTCTTTAGAATTCCAAGATCTTTGTTCAGCAGAGTTTATCTTGAGAATCTTCAGCACTCGTTCCTTTAGAAGCATTATCTTCAGAGTCTTCAGAACCTGTTCCTTCAAAACCTTATCTTCAGAGTCTTTAGATTTCATTAAGCATGTTCTTTGTCTTCAAAGTCTTCAGCACTCCGTTCATTCAAAACCTTATCTTCAAAAACTCTTCAAAACTTGATTTTCATAAATTTTGTCTTCATAATCATCAAAGCTTTGTTCACCAGAACCATGTGTTCAGAATCTTCAGAACTGTATCAATGTAAAGCATACTTCTTGTCAAGTCTTATATAATTACTTATAAAGTATCAATCAGAAACCTTGTTACGAACGTTCCTTAGAACCGTTGTATTAGAAGTATTTATGAATCTTAACTTTATCTTGTACATACATATGTTTTCCTTCTAAAGTGTTGATATCAGAGTATGATGACATCACACGTCTTCTTATCAGAGTCAAAATCATATTGATAACAGTCACACACTAAACAAAAACCATATCATACATAATTTTTCTTTTAGATAACCTATGCTGTTATCATCAAAACTTAAAGGCCAGATGTAGAACCAAATCTTGTTCTTAGAGGTTGGAGCAACCAATAGGGTCCAACTAGTAATAAATTATCTTTGGGTTTAATAATTTTTAGGGTTTCAATGGTTAACTTTAAGGATTCATAAAGAGAACCCAAAATATATTGACTTAGACAAATATTTCGTCCTTCGTGCAATTGATTATCCAAAGTTAAATATCGTTTTTCTACTTTTAAAGACTTAATTACGTCACAAAATGCATATTGACAACCACAAAGCTAAACTGACAATATGGTTTTCATCGGACACTTCGCTGGTGTTAGTATTGTGATGGTCTTCAATGTACATTCCAAAACGGGCACGATTGATATTAAAGTTAATGGTATCCATATCTCTCTTATTAGGGTTGAAACAATCGCCAGTTTGGTGAAGGCCAATAATGACCTCTTCGTCAAAAAGAGTAGGTGTAACCATTCCACAATTGAGTTGGAATGTATTGGTACTACTTTCTCATAAATATAAAGATTCGACGAGCATATTTTAACTATAAGGAGGACCATATTTTGAAATATAATGCTGCGAAAAGCATGCAACAATTATGTGTCAAAGTTTAAAGAGAAGAAAGTTACAAGCTGTTATTTTACATTAGTATAAATATGAGTTCTAGTGTTAGGATTCGGGGTGTTGAATTTACTACAAAAACTCACAAACTCAAAGTATTCATGCAAAGCGAAAAATGAGTTACTAGAGCAAAATGTATGATTTCAAATACCATTTCATTTAATGAAAAATATTTTATTTTAACTTATTCTTTTTGAAATCTTCCTTCCGTTCCATTGTCATTTTTTGATCATTTAATAATATCATTTTATAATGTTTTGTCACTTAATCATTGTCGAATTCATTCACCTTCTCAGCAATCTACTTTAATTTGCATCATTTTTATTTAAAGATTTCGACCACATCGAAGTCCTTTACATTCTTATTCAAAACTTAAAAAGATATTAAGCACTATGTCTTATGATTACCTAATCAATCCTACAAATAATCTTTTATAAAAGACTAGTGGGTATTTACTAAATTTCACAATAAACACTTTCACACTATCTCTTCCCCTCTTCAAACTTCAACCTTTATCTACGGTTCATTGATTGTTGGGCCGCAGATGCTCATGAATCAATATGTTTTGTATCTATACTAGTTTATACTAATATATAAAGGCAAAACATAGGCGTAGCTTTGTTTTCTTCAAAATATACCATTACTAGTTTTTATAACTTCTTTTTTTACAAAGGGCGATTATACGATAGTTTATCATCTTTCATACTATTATCTTTTACTATTTTATAAATAATTTAAAATGAAAATAAAAATAAATAAAATTAATAATACTGTTTATATTTTACGCCCGTGGGTATTGAAAAAAACGGACAGATCGTCTGATCGCCAGTATGTATAAAGGCAAAACATGGTGATTAGGCATAGTCTATTTTTTTAACCAATTTTACACTTTAATTTTTAATATGTAATTTACATAATAACTTCCATTCAAAACACTATTATACATAATTTCATACTATTAACTTCCTCCATAACTTCCATTACATAATTTCTATTAAAATTATTATTACTATACATAACTTCTATTTAAAATTATTATTATTATACATAATGTTTTAGTATTAACTTTCTATATAACTTTTATTTAAAATTATTATTAAATAAATAAAATATTATTTAAATTTTTACAAGTATACATTAAAAAAAAACGGACAACGCAGAGTATGGACGCTAGTATGTTTTGTAGGCTAAAATTATCTATTTGATACTTTGATTTCCATTTAAGTTGTTACTCTTTCAATACCGTTCTTGCTACTACTATTTCTTATATTTAATTATTTTACTACTACTATTTCTTATATTTAATTATTTTAAAAATAAAACAAACATAAGGTTTTATTTACATAATTACTAAAATTAAAATAAAGAATAGAATATAGGAGCATTGATTACCTCTGATGTTTCCTATCAAATTGCATATTTCCAAAGCTAGTGCAATTGGGCAGCCAAATGAATTTTACTTTTACAACTCCTCAACTGCTAGTGCTACTGAAAAGCGTGCGGTGTGGCCCTTCTTCTCCGCTGCTAGAGTTTATAAATATGTTATATGATTATACCTCACCTAGAATAGTAATCACATCTCAACTAAACCTTATCTTCTTTTCGACATACACAATGTCGTCGTTTTCAATCCCAACAATTGGATCGAAACTTGAAAGCCCAACTACAAACCCAAACTGGCTCGAACTTCCGAAAGAAATAACAGCAAACATCCTCCACAGACTTGGCGCTGTTGAAATTCTTACCAGCGCACGAAATGTTTGTCCTTATTGGTGGAACATTTGCAAAGACCCTCTCTTGTGGCGAACTATTCGCATGAGCGATATTAGCATATTACGTTATAATTCTTCTAACTTATCCAAGATTTTTCGCTACGCAGTGGACCAAAGCTGTGGTGGTCTTGAAGATATTTATCTTAAGTATTTTGGAAATGATGAGCTCTTCCAATATGTAGCAGATAGGTATATATATAGTATCATACTTCCACTGTTTTCAATTTTACAATCTAAAATTTAAATCCTATTTTGTTGTTTGATTATGTTTATATGTTTGTTCTATATGATTTTCCTTTATCTATTTTCATTTTGTAATTCTTACAGGGCAAGTCAGTTAAGATGCTTAAGGATTGAAAATTGCCAGAGATCATTGTCAAAAGAAGGATTGAGTGAAGCTGTAAAGAAATTTCCACTGTTAGAGGAGCTTCATATTTCTGACTGCCACATCCTCCATAGTGTTTCTTTTAATACTATTGGTCAATCTTGCCCTCTTCTAAAATCGTTGAAACTTAAAGGTTTTTTTGATGTAAATAAAGAATGTGATTATCAGGCTTTTGGTATTGGTGAAACAATGCCTGGACTGTGTCATCTTGAACTTTTGAAAATTAATCTTTCTAATGTTGGATTGATTGCAATTCTTGATGGATGTCCTCTTCTTGAGTCTCTTGATATAAGAGGATGTTTGCATCTGGATTTAAGTGGAAGTATAGGGCAAAGATGTAAGAAGCAGATCAAGGACTTACGTCTTCCTGAAGATTATATAGACGAGTCGGATGATACTTGTGGTGATATTGATCTGACCATGGCATTTGACTTATTGGGCGAATTTTCTCATGCAGAACAACGTTGGCAAATTAAAAGACAGTCAAAATTTTCAAATATCTATCAATTTTTCACAAAAAGATTTTGGTTTTTGTGAAGGAATGATAACATGACATTGATATTTATGCTCTTAGAGATGCAACTTATGTCAAACGAGCATATTTATTAAGTTTGTCTCAGAATCAATCCCTTATTTGCATTAGGGAAAGTGTAGAAGTATTAAGCAAGCACTGCTTGGAAATTTTATCTGCTGATCAGAAGGCAGTTGACTGTAGACCTACCTAAACAAGTTCTCCTACTTTTGTTAATCAAGAATACCAGTGAGGTTGTGTAAAATCATATTTCTTTGGGGGACTAGATATTTTATCTTTTACTTATTAATTACTATTTGAATTAGTGTTTGAAATGACCTGCTTATGTGTCTTTTATTATATGAATCTTTTTATGGATCGAGTAATTTTGTTGTGCTTTCATCTAACTGTGTGCTTCTTTTATCTACTTTTTATCCTGTCTTTGGTATTGTCTATAATTTAACTCATGTTTGTTTACTTATTTTCACGTTGCAACAGCTGGATAACGTCTCGCAACAATAATAATTGCCGCAACCATACCATGACATAACCATTTCAATAATACCATTTAAATTAACACTAACTTTTGTTTTCTCTAAAATTATCTTATTGTTAAAATATTTTACTAATATCTTTTTCGGTTATACATAACATAATTTTATTTTCAAATATGGTGATTCTTAAGGTCTGTTTGGTTCAAATGAAGGGGAGGGGAGGGGAGGGATTTTAATGAAGGGGAGGGGAGGGGAGGTGAAAGAATTTTTTAATCAAATAAGTGTTTGGTTCAAAAGAGGAGGGGAGGGGAGGAGAGGGATTTTAATTAAAAATGTGTTTGGTTCAGAAGGGGAGGAGAGGAGTTTTATTAATAATTTACATTTTTATCCTTATGATCTTATATAAGTCATATGATATTAAAATGTGAAAAATTCGTGCGTATTTTTGTTGGTAATAAAATTTCTAAAATTGAGTGATTAAAAAAATATTTATTTGTCATTAAAGTTAAAAAATTGAGTACAATCGATTCGATTATAACTTTCCAACATAAATTAAACTATATGCCAATAACATGGTTTAAATTGTGATGAATCATATAACAAAACAAATATTTAAAATAACTTATTACTAAATATTAATGGTTCAAAATATTTAATAAAATGAATAAACAAAAATATATAAAATGATATGGTTTACAATTTGATATAAAAGAAAATATGATAGAGTACATAACAAAATTGAAAGAAAAAAACGAATATAACAAAACATAATTTTTTTTATAAAAAAAAAAAAGACAATGATTATGATTTATATTAATTATAAAAATTATAAAATAATTTGAAGGTGAAGAACAATTATAATAAATTGATGAAAACAATCGAGAAAAAACAGTAACATAAAAGATAACAAATAGTTTTGAAATAATAAAATTAAACTGAGAATATTTTAGTAAATATAATAATTTTTAAATATCAAAACTAATATTCCCTCCCCTCCCCTCCAAATCCTCCCAATTCGGAAGGAATCAAAAAGTGTGTTTTGGAGGGATTTTGCTCCCCTCCCCTCCTAAAATTTGAACCAAACATATTTAATTAAAAATTTCCCCTCCCCTCTCCTCCCCTCCCCTCCATCTACCCCGAACCAAACACACTCTAAGCGTTGTACAACTCTCTTCAAATAATATTAGAATTTGTCCTTATTCTTCTTTACAAAATTGTTTAAAATGATGAAATGTGTTCCTCTATATAAATTTCTTACCGTGTCTATGTCATATCAATGTAGGATTTGTAATCTTTTCAATATTCTTCCTCACACCCATCATCTTTTGAATTTTTCACCACATTGCCCTTGTTTCAAGTGAAATATCCCACAATGCCCCGTCTGAAAACTAATTTATCAGTATGCCCTAGTTTAGAAGGAGTTCGTCCATTGATTGGACGAACTAGTGAAGTCCATGAAGAAGTTCGTCCTTCTGTTGGGCGAACATGTTGAGAAAACGTGCCATGCATGAGTTCACCCATTGAATGGGCGAACTAGTGAAAAAGATGGGTTTTTTTTGTTTTTTAATTTTTTAATTTTTTGTTAATTCTATTTAAAATGTATTTAAATAATTTAATATAAAAACTATTTAAATAATTTAATATAAAAACTATTTAAATAATTTAATATAAAAACTATTTAAATAATTTAGTATAAAAACTATTTAAATAATTTAATATAAAAACTATTTTATTAATTTAATTTAAAAACTATTTTATTAATTTAATATAAAAACTATTTAAATAATTTAATTTAAAAACTATTTTATTAATTGATAATAATAATTTTGAAGATAGTGATGCCACTTTATGTTTGTTATAAATTATTTAATCAATTAATAAAATAGTTTTTAAATTAAATTATTTAAATAGTTTTTATATTAAATTAATAAAATAGTTTTTAAATTAAATTAATAAAATAGTTTTTATATTAAATTATTTAAATAGTTTTTATACTAAAATATTTAAATAGTTTTTATATTAAATTATTTAAATAGTTTTTATATTAAATTATTTAAATAGTTTTTATATTAAATTATTTAAATACATTTTAAATAGAATTAACAAAAAATTAAAAAATTAAAAAACAAAAATAAAAAACCATCTTCTTCACTAGTTCGCTCATTCAATGAGTGAACTCATGCATGGCACGTTTTCTCAACATGTTCGTCCAACAGAAGGACGAACTTCATGAACTTCACTAATTCGTCCAATCAATGGACGAACTCCTTCTAAACTAGGACATGCTGATAAATTAGTTTTCAGACGGGACATTGTGGAATATTTCACTTGAAACAAGGGCACTGTGGTGAAAAATTCTCATCTTTTGGGGATTTATACTTGGATATAAATGGTGGGTAGATATGGATTTTTTATGATATTATGTTAGAATCTGTCTTAATCCATCTTTACAAAATTAAATTTTATAGTGAGGAGTGTCTTTTCATGTAATCTCTTTAAAGACGATATGTCTAATCAGAATCCTTCTTTCCTTCCTATCATAAGATTATTGATAAAAAAGAAAGAATGAATCCATTGGATTTTAATTATGATTCATTTGTTAAGTTTACATTTTTGTTTAATGGCAAATAAAAATATATTGAAAAAGGGGTAAAGAAAAACCATTAGTAAAAATCTATCCTGATATTAAGACAAACAATTGATCTCTTATAGTTTCAGGTAGGGGTGTCGAAATCTACCCTTGAACCAAGGCAAAAAAATTAAACTTTTTTTCTTCACGTATTTTTTAGAAAGACCATACTATAATGGATATCCACCCCTATAAAAAAGAAAAAGAAAATTTAAAAGTTATCCTAGGATTATTAAGAATAACTACTTACCAGCTCCAACCACTTCAAGATTATATAGTACACAAAAAAGACAAAGCATTTATAAATATTATAATGCGTTTTTAAACACAAAGCACATTTAAATTGTATAAAATAATACTCAAATATTTAACATAAGAGAAACTAATAGAATTCGAAGAAAGAGTGTTGATTATATTAATGTATAAAATTTAAAAGAGAAAGATTGAATAGAAAAGAGATAAAATTTAGTGAGTTAAGAAAAATCAATGTGTTATTTTAGAGTAATATAATCTAAGTATATGTCTGTGTGTGTGTAAGTGTGCGCGCGTGCGTGCGTGCGTGTGTGCGTGGGTGCGAGGGTGCGTACTTTTTCATCAACTTGCCCGAAATCTGACCTCTCATTTTCCTTTTGCATCAACATGTGCATTCGCATATGCATTCGTACTTTTTCTCTGTGATTTTTGTTGCAGGAATACTCCGGTTTTCCAAGCCCGATTGATCATATCCTCTCAAAGATATCACATCACCAAAACAAGCACAAAATAAAGGTTTCTATGCATATTCATCAAAGCAAAAGGTCGAAAAACAGAACCGTAGCCACATCACCATTTTGCAAGCAAATTTGGCAAGTTTTGTCTGTGCTAACCGATTACCACTTTTCTAGGAAAAGTAGGGCAACCAGTTACCCTGTGCAAAAATGTTGTTTTTGCTGCATTTTTGTGACAACACTTTCACTCTACCATTTTGGGGGTCTACATTGTTCTAGCATTGTGTGGAACATTCTAGACATCTCTAGACACTTCAAGACCTTTCTAAACTCTTCAAAGCATTTGCTTCATTACATCAAGTTGGATTAAGACCACCATGTTTCTTCATTCCCAAGCATGTGAGCCCTTAGATTCAAGTTTGCATTAGGATGGTTACCAAGTCAACTACCTAACTAATTGATTTAACCTCCAACTCGGTGAGTTGTGGCTAACTAACTCCAAGGCTAGTTCCAAGGCTAGATCCAAAGTTCACTCTGAACCTAGCAACACCGAAGCAAAACTCTATATAAGCAAATCACCACCATTTCACAAGGGGTTTCAATCATTTTTCTTAATTTCCAAACTCTTCACCCTCAATCATCTTCTCAATATTCTTCACTCTCATATTCTCTCTGAATTTTCTATAACATTTTCACGTTCATCTTCATCCTCTCTGAAAAACCCTCACAAAAGCTCAATTTCCACCATTAGAGTGTAATAATCTTCACATCGAAATTTCTATTCTCTTGAGCTAAACCTCATTCCACCATATTCCTACTTGGATTTTTGGATTTACAGTAGTTCTTATCAAATTCAAGAAATCGTCTCAAAGCTTCTTCTTTGCAAATCGATATTTGGAGCATTTATCGTGTTTTTATCGATTTCGCTACGATTTGATCTCAAGCTTGGAATTCTATGGTTTTCTTTGCTTATTTCTCATCACATATCAATAGCAACAATTATCAAGGCAATCCTTTTCCTTGTAGGTTGGTAATTCGCACTATATTTACTGTTTTGATCACTTTCGCGCGTTTACGATGTAGTTTGATCACTTTCCGGTGTTGATTGATCATGTGATTGTTTGATCTTTGATCTTAATGTTTAATGCTTTTGTATGAGATGTAGTTTGTGGATGTTTTATGAGATGTTTAACTTC